CATCCAATCAATAAACAACCAGTTGGTCTTAATTACTAAAATAGGAAGAATTGAGAACTAACTAAAAAAAATGGAGCTAGCATTAGCAATTTTAATCAATTCAAGAGGGGAAATTAGCCTCAGTGGAATGTCTATAAATTGTAGCTTGTACTGAAGCAAAATGATGCACACACAAAAACTCCTATTTTCCGATATAAAGCTCTAGCAGTTCTCTGATCGATCGATGGCTTTGCTCAAGTTTCTTTTTGTTTTGACTACTCTTCTCATGGCATTCACTGGTGAGTACCAATCTCTCCCTAGCTCTCTTTATATTGTAATATAGCATGTTAATTTGCATAAATCAATATCTATACAAATTGTTCGCATATATATATCTTAAAATTCATAAAATGTTACAGCTCAACTGTCATGGCTCTCAAAGACACAAGTGATTGCCACAAGAGATGTTAATCATGATTCAGAAGTGTTAGAAGGCATGCTAGTCCTACCTTCTGCTAAGCTGATGACTTGCGGGCGCAGTTGTACATACAGTGAGGAATGCAGTGACGGTTGGGCATGCAATCTTTGTATTTTTATAACACAAGAATGGAAAGCTTGCAGCGCATTTTGACAAGCTTATCTGAAGGTCGTTTACTGGTTTCCGAACAACTCTACCATGTGCAAGTTCTTATTATTTGTCTGAGTCTCTCTGTGTGCTTCAGTTCATTCCATGTTTTATCCAGCAATAAAAAAAATATCCATTGAGAAATCATAATGGATGTACAACTTCGTGCAATGCATGTAGTCATTGCTCAATTTACAAGTGTATCACATATGTTGTTTGTATCGAACTTTTCTTCTTTCTTTGTTGATTAACATTCGTCATTTTTAAATTTCACAAAACGAAAATTTCAATTATCTTATATTTTTGGAAGCGCTCCGAAAGAAAAGAACTTTTCTTGTTCTGCGTTAGATAAAGAGCTCCGAAAGAAAAGAACTATCACATTTGATAATGCAAAGATTGCTTCATACTTTTGGAAGTCCGAGTTCTCTCCTGAAGATGACAC